CTCCCTGTCCCGACGACGAAGAGCGCATTCGTTCTCTCATTACAAGTCCGACATATGGGCACCTAAACGATCGCACGCATATACATACACGCGCACATAATACTCGATCTTTCTGCCTCCCGCTCGCGCTCTCGGGCAGCCACTTTTTTTTCCCCTTTCTTCCGGTCGGTAGGAGCGGGACGAGGAGAACCGGACGAAGATCCCGAGGATCGAAGGGAGACGAGTAGAGCCCTCTGAGAGGACCGCCGATGTCAGAGGCCGCGCAAAGGAATGCTGACTCGCCGAACACCGCCGCCCTACCTCTCGAACGTCCCCTCGGCGCGAGGAACACACCTGGCCGCGCTCTGTGCCACCCCCGTCTCGCCGACGCCGCGGGAAAAAGGCCGAACGAGCCAATAATGATAATTGATAATTAGTCGTACCTGTTTCCATCAGGTAAATGCGAACCTGGCAACGGAGGAACTAATACTTGAATGGAAAGAGCGGAAGATGGGAAGCATCGAGAAAAATATAATTGATTAAGTGTGATACTCCCCCTCTCTCCAATTTTTTTCTTCTATAATTCTAAAGATGTAACAGCTACAACAATGTAAATCTTTGTAAAATCATACTTTAACTTGTCGAGGTAACAGACTTATTATCATTAATTAAAAATGAAAATGAATGAAATTTTTAATGAAGATATTGTATGATTTAAGAAATTTTTTTTTAGAGCTTCTGAAAAACTCACTTAATTTTGTAATGCTAATTTTTTTCACAGGACAAAATGTTGTTTCGTATAGAAATTGGTATTTGATTATTGGAAAAATATGTGATTTTAAACAGACCATTTACGCGTCAAGAACAATGCAGAGAATTTGACGAAAATACCAAGACCTTCTCAGGTCTACCTACATATGTAAAGTAACCTGTTCGTGCTTCGATTGTAATTGTCCTCAATATCGTTTGTGATACCCGTGGCTCGCTCTCTCACCTTCGCCTCTTGAAAAGAGTACGAGATCCTCGGTGCATTTTAATCGTATGGTACCTACGCGTCTTCTGGAAAGGTGAGATAAAGGTGGTTAGATGAAGTGACCTTTTTCCGGCGACCGTCAAACGGCGGAGGATCCTTCGACGGGGGATCTCCTTTGGCGGCATCTTTGGCGGCTCGTTCACGTTCCTCGTATGACAAACGGAAGAATGGTAGAATAGCTCGGAGACAAGTTGCATCTACAGACAGTAAAGGTGGCGGAACCCAGGTTTAAATTCCTGTCACCGGCCTCGTTGCCGTCATAGTCAGGAAGAAGGGAGTGAAGGGAACGATGGTGGATGTCGAAAGATATCCATCGTTTTTTTTTCATAACGCACCCGAAGACACGCGCGATGACTGCCGAGCACCGCGCTGCAATGAGCCTCCTAATGACTCTCCTTCCGCACTACTTGTTGTGCACGTTGAAAGTTTGAGTCTGCTTGTACTCCAGAATTGTACTCGCACGCATCGATGCCATTCTGGAAAGCAAGAAAGATAAAACTCTAATAAAAAAGGAAACTTCACACGTATTTGGTTAAATCTGTCAATTTTTTTTAATTTTCTCTCGCAAAATGAGCGCGATATTCGATCTATTCTCGGCACTCGGAGCTGTATCTGAAATGACGATCTTCCGTGTACACGGAAATAAGAGGCGGCTTAAGGAACATGTTTAAAACATCATTAGAGGAGCATTCAACGAAAAAAGTTATTCCGCCTAATCAATGCTGCCGTGCGAAATCCCGATGCCGAAAAGCGTCGCGCCTTTTGTCTACTTTTGCTGAAAACCTCCGGGTATTATTTAAGTTTGACTAGATGCCGGTGTTTCTGTCCGCCTCGATGTGCGCAGGGACCACGTTACGCTTTGACAAATGTAATGCCGCACAATAAACAGAATGGCCTCGAGCTCAAAGGACGGCCGCTGAGAATTCTTGTACACTCGAAAGCCGCGATCCCGCCGCCGTTAGCTTCATTCCCCGCCGAGCGAGGTGAAAACCGCAAGAAAAGAGAGTATCGTTTATTGTCCGCCGGCAAGATTCTGGCAGGTTCTACTGTACGCGGCGAAAATAGCAGGTCCTTCGAGAAAATACCGATCTCGTTTTACGCAAATCTTATTCCCAAGATAAAACGCCTCTCGATCTGGTTACGACGTAGCTCATTTAACAGCTCGGTTGTGTTTTCCTTTCGATTTACATTTTGCTCTAAAATAAAAAAGAGACTTTGCACGTATTTGTTTAAATCTGTCAAATCGATATATCCGCTTGCGGTTTAATAAAATCCTTCAAGAAAATTAATTATCAAATCTTTCTAGAAGCCCTTCTTGGGCTGTTGTGAATGAATTTCAGGCTTTGCATCGTGATCATCGTAATATATAATAATCCACGGACTTCAGCGATTTTCTCTTTCTTCCTGGGCCTCCAGATGCCTCTAAGGGAAGAGACCTCGGGCGACCTCAATTGAAGGTTAGCTCGTAAAACGCGGATCGCGAGCGAAAAAATCGGCCGAACGGCCGGCCACGAACCGGCGTAAGAAATAGAATTACTGTCGCCGCCGTTTAATTCCGCATCGCGGAATCGGCGATAGCACGATGGCGCAGGTAGGCAAATAAAAGAGCGAGCTAATCCCCGTTCGTTCTGCCAGGGTGGATTGTCGGACGTCACAACAAACCACTCGATCCTCGAACGTCGACGTGTGCTCCCGTGGATACGTTCGACCGAGCGATAAAACCGAGCACGAGGTTCAATATTATTTCAAAACAGATTGAGCGCGGATTCAAGCTCAAAATCACGGCAGGGAAAGCACGACGTTGTCGACTTCAATCGGGACAATGGTCCGCGGGAATGCTCGATTGAACGACAATGGGACAATGGGCGAGGGAATCGACTTAAGGGTAAATATTTGGTGAGGGTAGTCTGGTCAGTTTCTACCGATTGTTTCCCCTCGCCAAGTACGTATTTTTTTCTCTCGTTTACTAGACGAACAGACGCACGCGAGCTGCTGATTCTCTCAGCCAAATAGTTATCAATAGCAGCGCATCGTATAGAAATGTTTTCGGAATAAAGTGTTGAATGCACGGATATTGCAAGGTTCGCAAGATCCTTCCCAAGAAGGGAGGATTTAACGTATCGAACGGTTGAGCAACAATGAAACGTGACCTTATTGTTCACATGACTGTTGTTGAGATCAGCAAAATGGAATCATGAATAGAAAATAAGATTCAAAAAATGAGAATTAGCTTTAATAAGATGATTGGAAAATTGGTGGAAAATTGTATTCAAATTTCGTGAAGAATAAATGAATTTTCCAGAAGAAATTATCCATCTCTTTTGATTAATGTATATTTAATAATAAAAAGTTTTCTTGAAAATAAAGATAAAAAAATAAAATGTATTTGCAAAGTTTATTTACTAAACTGTTAATTATCTTAAATGATACTCTATAAAATTTTTGTAGTGATTGATGGAAGAACTTTCATAAAGGATATCGGAGGCCATTATTATATCGTCGACGATAAACTCTGGCAGGAGCAACCGGCTCCCGCTGAAAAAAACGATGGTCGATCATAAAACGTATCAAAACTATGAAAACGAGGCAAGATGGCGGTGGTAACCATTGCTTGCCTTTTACGAGGACTTTATAGATGCTTTAATGACTACGGTATATGTAGTACACAAAATGCATGCAGAACTACATGCGAACGTATGTAGAACGCATAAAACTGTTTCGTGCAAGCAGATAGATTGAATGGACTTTAAACCAGAACGTCAGAAATTTTCTGTTACGTTTACTTACACTGACATATAAAGTTGACGGATAAACATAGATTTTTCGATTCATTCTGATCGATTTAATTAGAGAGGAAAAATATGTATGAAATAAAATAACTGAATAAATAATTATTTATCAGACTTTTAGAATTAATTAATTCATATGACAAATTCGAGAATAAATTCGTGACGGTATATTTGAATCTTTTTCTGCAATATTAGGTGAAAACGTCTTGAATTCAATCACAAGAAACAATTAAGCCATAGGAAGTACGATGACTGCGCGGAATAGCCGTCGCATCATCGGATACGCGTATTATACAAATGATGATCATCGTCTCATCAATAGCCCATTCAGAGAAAGAGGCGAGTTCATCGGCGATGCAACGGCGAATCGAGTGACAGGGCGGCTCTTTCGACGATTTATCGATTAACAATGACGGCCGTTTTAACACCAATTAATAATCACCACGAAATTTGAAGAATTGTCGTTTTGATATAATGAATATTTTCATCGCCGTAAACAGTCTAATTTGCCAATCGTTTATGAAAGTTGACTTTGTACATTGTCGCTAATTCACGTTTTCACAAACAGATTAGATAACAAATTTCTATAAAGCTAGAAAAATTGGAAGACTAATATAAAGATAGGAAAACTAAACTAGGAAATTCCTCATTTTAAGAAAAAATATCATTACTAAAAGGAAAGAAGATTTAGTTTTGGATTTAGTTTTGGTTGCTCTATTTCAAGTTCGTTATAAATACACATAATTGTAATAACATAAGCAATTATTTTAAATTTATATACAATTTAAAAGTAGAAAAATTATTAGCATTAAAAATCTCGCCTTACCGAGTATTACTGGTATTCTATTCTATTGAAGAAATGCCGATTCTCGAATTTTTACAACAATAATTAACATTAAAAATGAATGTTCGTGGAATATGTAATAACACGATGTATTAAGAACACATATATTATATGTTCTGGATGTGATTTCTTAAATATATAACTCGTGCTAATATTCTTGTTTAACGACAAAGTTAACTCAACAGTACAAACAACAGTTGCATTCAAGAGATAGTTATTCCACGATCTCAAGACTCCTCTAATTAATGTAAAAGACTTCCAGATAAGTCATTTGTGATAATATGAACAGACCTCAATGATTTTTCTCCGAATTTCTCGAATATGGCAGTGATTGCAGCGCTTTTACGGCTCTCAGGTCGCTGCGGTGACGATTCCGACACGGAAAGCGAGCCGGGCATTCCACTAAAGCGAAAGCAGCGCAGAAGCAGAACAACGTTTACCGGCGAACAACTCGAACAGTTGGAAGCTGCGTTCCAACGAGCCCAATATCCAGACGTTTATGCCAGGGAAGAATTGGCTCAGAGAACTGGATTAACGGAAGCGAGGATTCAGGTAAACATCTTATCAATTATGACATTACGTTACGTAACATATATCACAACTCATATTTCATCAACATCATGTGTCACAACTTCGTATTTCAAGAAAATCTCTAATATTTTTTTCTACTTTAATTGTTGTTAAATATCATTAAAAAAAAAAAACCGTACTTTATTGATGAAAAATTATTCTGTTTTAAGACCGAGCCCAGATTGTGTGAGTTATTTATATAACGCCGGTCACATGATTCACGCGTGAGCTTGAAAAGAATGAAGGAAAGAATGGTCGATAGAAATTCGAGGAAGCGATAAAAGTCGGGATATTGTTCGCGCCGTACCGCGCGTTGCGCGCTGTCGGAGTAAAACGTTAATGCCTTTATCGTCGCGATTACCGTCAAATCGCGACCCTATCGCGCGAGGTGGTGCATCGGCGAGTCAAGTGTCATGCGCGCCGATTTCAGGTGTGGTTCAGCAATCGCAGGGCGCGACTTCGCAAGCACACCGGCAGCATAGCGCACTCGGTGGCGAATCTGCCATTGACGCCCTGCCAATACGCCGCGGCCGGCCACGAGCTCGTGCAGATACCGCAGGTGCCGCAGATGCCGGGCGGAATACCGCAGGTACCCACGACCTTGCATCATAGCCCGACGACGCTGCACCAGGCCGCGCCCGGCGGCGTTCACCAGATCCCCGGCAGCACCGCCGTCGCTCAAATGGCGAGCACGATGGCCCAGGTGCCCACGACGATGAGCGGCGCCCTTCAGGGACACACGGTCGCCATTTCCGGTCATATCGGGTCACTTCCGGCGCACGCGGCCTCCGTGCAACTCGCGCAGGTATCGACGATGCAACCACCCGCCGCGCACGGCGCGCCGACGTCACTCTCGCACAATGCCGGTGAGTGTCTCGTAACATCTGTGATCCTTCGGGATTTTTTGGGAAAAGTTTTGAAAGGCCACACTGGAGAGATGCCTTCGACGTTTGAAATATATCTCTGAGATCCATAAATCATCGTAAACTGACATGTACTGATAACTGTGAAGCTGCGAATTTGAAATCTGGAATGTCGAAGTGTTGTAACGTAATGAGCGTATAAGTCAAAATTTTACGTGTTCCGAGATTTTATTGATGAGCTCGAAGATCTGTATCTCTAGGATTTGTATTTGTCTTCGATCTTTAGGTAACAGCGATTGGTCCAGGACGCAACTTGGCTGGGGACAATTCAATCATTTCCAGAGCGGCGAGTACAATTCGGGCCACACTGGCAGTCATCAGCACACGAGTTCTCAAAGTACTCAGTCTTCCAACACTCCACATACGGGAACAACGCCAGATTGGTATGATCAAGGTTACGATTACGCTCAACACGCTCAGCTGAATTATCATCGCAGTGTAGGTGGAATATTTTAGCCGATCAGTACATAAATTAGCGTTGCACATATTGTACATAGATTAGCTGCACATGATGCGCTAAGAGACAAGCATATTTCTATTGTATATAATTATTAAATTCTGTATAAATGTAATTCTGTATATAAATTCTTTATTTAATCTACATCTCTTATGTGGCATTTTTTATCCCTTCCCTTAAAATGCTAATATGAAATCTAATTTCAGTAACTTATGAGATAATTTGTTGTACTAATAACAATAAAACAATAATAATTATTAAAGTTATATTAAAATATAATTTTACAAATACTACCATTTACAAAATCTTTGTTTTATTATTAAAATTTACAATTAACACATAACATTAAAATGAAGTTACATGCAAAAAAGAAACACGTAATAAATAAAATTATAAAAATAATAAAAATATAAAAATACATAATAATGAAATATTTATTACCTGCTATACATTTGTGTTAATATTTTATTCTTCCTTGGTTAGCAACATTACAACAAATTACATTTTTTTATTCTGTAAGTAGATCGTTATGGATGATATTTAACGATACTGTTTTAACAAAAATTAAGAATAGGGTTCATTAGTGATCATTTGCAGAATGAAATTCGAGTTTATTACTTCAATATTATTATCGCTTTATTGTCACTTCGGTTATTTATTATTGTCTAGACAAACACATAGTACTTTAAGTCGTAAAGTTAAAGAGAAGTCGACAGAGACTTATACGTCACCCACAGCAATGATAGACCGATGATGCCGCGACATCGAGCGTATTTCGATTGTATATCGAATACATGCATGTTACACAACGACGTTTCTAACAATATTTAAATGAGATACAATGGAGACTAGGATGAAACCGAACTCGCGTTATCGCTATCGAGCTTACAAGCTCTGAGCACTAATCTGGCATTTACATCATATATGTTACTACGCTCACGGAGATTATTTCCTGGCTTCGTCGATCTCGCATGTGTACAAATCGAATTTCTCATGATTGTAATCACGACTGTATATTTTCGAGAAAATAACGAAAATGGCAAAATAATATTTGCCTGACGATGAGATGGCATCGCGAAAAAGAATGTTCTACATTTGAAAGTTCATGAAAAATTTCCACTTTCCTGTTTTAAAGTCTTGAACGCTTCTACGACTGCAACGTTCTTAATAAATTCATTATAAAAAAGATATATCATTCAATAATATCATTTTAAAAGAAATTGTTAAGTTAATAGTTATTAAATGTAAATTGTAAATTTTATGAAAGACTGGTCTTTTAAAAAAAAAAGATAAAAGCTAACTAGATATTTCTAATTCACTTATAATTAATACATTTTGTATACATTTTTCGTAAATTTTTCTTCAGATAAATTCTAAAATTGTATGAAAAGACGTGGAAATCGCCTCACTTTGCCAGAAAAATAATAGTCACACTTAATTTTAAGCATTTTAAGCAAATACATTTTGAACTAATACATTTGTTAAGTAAATAACAAGTAATAAATATATAGTCGTTGCATCTGGCTCTTAATATCACAAATACCTAAATCATATAACAAGTAAATTATTGATTGTGACATATTGAGAAATATCTGGAGAATAATAACAAGTCTTTCCGATTAACATAATTATCAGTATCATATCATGTTTCGCAATTGCGAGCTCTATTTTTGCTACTCTATTTTCGAATAACCCCACCATTCGTGAACACTTGTCCGGCGATTTATATTTATTTTCGCTCTGTAATAGTCGAATTAACATATGAGAATGTTTTATTCTTTTTTTTACAAACATATGATTTGTCACAATCATCGAGAACGTCGGCGCATAAAATATTTGGATGATTTATCGATGAAGTCTGGACTAAGTAATAATCATTAAAGCAACGTATAGCTTTTCGCGACTACACTCATTTAAATTGGAAACTGGCCGTGGAATAAAATATTTCGATCTCGCGATGATTTATCGTTAAACTAAAAAGTAATGTTCAAACGCTTGATCTCTCATCTCCTTTTCGTTCTTTCATACTGTCGCAACGGAAAAAGAAAAATTGCGAGGTGCTGCTCGATGAATCGCCCGAAAGTGATTTATCAACGATATCGATATTACGTGGCGTTTACGATCGAAGACCAGTGCCAAATCACAAACCGTAAGCCGATCGATCATTGTTATGACATTGTTATTGTCGATTAAAGAATATTTCTCGCCTTGCTTCAAAAGACACGAGTTACAAAAAGTCACGGCAGATATGTTCACTATACATCGACATTTACGGAAGATACAAGTATCAAGAGAAACGCTTACAGAAGTCCGTAAATTTAGAGACTAAGGTCGATGACGAAGTCCTTTACATAACACTCAGAAACTTGTGATTTGCGGAGAAAAATTCTTTTTTTTTTGTTTGAGCGAGAAAAACCTGTCTGCGAATTGAAATCTTTTTTCTTTCAGACATACACTCTTTCCGCATAACAATTTAAAATCTGTTCAATACAGACGGCACATTTAAGGCGTCACATTAGGATTACGTGAGACTATTATTGTCGGCGAGCAGTAAGCTTATTGTCCATCGATGGAGCCATTCTTCAATAAGAATTAATTCTTCTCAATGAGTCTATGAACTAATCGCTGATTAAATTGCGTGACGAATTTCCTTACTCCCATTATTGTTCTATTGTTTTCAATTTTGATTGATCGATACCAATTTTTAAAATAATTTCTATTATTATTATTTTATCATTATTATTATTATTATTATTATTCTTACTGATACTAACAGATCGTTACTTGATTATTAATGATCGAAACAGACGTTTGTGGATATCTACCGTTGACAAGGGATGATCAGTGGCCAGTAAGGAAGAACGTCAGACTCAAGATCCGAATATTTACATCCGTTTTCTTTCACTCTTCTTTTCATTCGCTGAGTAAAATCGCCATGAACCCGATGTGTAAAACGTAATTTGTACGATGTCGCCGCCTTGGACGAGCAGCAAAGCGATGGGATCTTTTACATGATACGGGACGCGACGCGGGAGTTCGACGTCCGCAGGAAGTTATCGATGTCTGGTAAGAGGACGAAATCCACGTCGACAATCTCCGTGCAGGTAGCGGGTCTTCGGGGTGAACATCGGTCTTAGCGACCGAGCCGACGCGTTGGGGGTGTAGTTGGACGAGGACCCATCTGCGGGATCCTCCCTGAAATTCATTTGCGTCCTCGTTATGTCCCGCGGAAACATCCGCCGTCCCGTCTGACAATCACACACAATTAGATCAATTCTAAACACGTAACTAATCGATAGCGCGCGATGCTGACAGCGCGGACATTTATCTGAGGGAAACAACGACAGAAATGTTGATGAAAATAAAAAATAATTTGTTCATGCACACCAGTTGTTGCGCGCCCCCGCTTCACAGTTGCGTTCCACGGTTGTACAAAATTTCAATTTTTTTTTCTTTTGTAAAAATGTCTTTCTTTGTCCAGACAACATAAATCCAAAATCGGGACATAAGACGTTTTTAAGATGTTTTTAGATATCTTTCGTAAAAATATCTTTTAACAGATCTTTTAAAGATCTTTAAGGCGATTGTATCCCGATTTTAAACCTTTTGTTCTCTGAGTGAATTGAAACAATTTGATAAATGTATAGAAAAGATAAATAAATATATAAATAAAGAAAAATATATATATATATATTTTAAAATTTTGTACATGTTAATTAAAATAATTATTTAATTTTTTTCCAATAGATCTAACTTGACGATTCTAGAAAGATTCTGACAGCACAGAAATGTTCAACATATTGACATATCTAACACCAATAATACACAGTGTTCTTCAGCAATGGTTTGTAATCCTACCTATCAATTACATGAGTTATCACTCCTCTGAAAACGCAACGTCACGAACTATTAAAACAAAAACAAAAATAAAACAACATAAAAAATGAAACAATATAAAAACCATTCTGATAACATTGCATTTTCTATGACATTGCGAATTTTTGAACATAGAAAAGAATGTCATGTCACAATATTAATGGCTCCCAACAACTGAATCAAGTAATAATTCAAAAATTGTACAAAGCTGGAGAAATAGAAATTTCCGTATAAATTACACTTCTTACGGTGATATTTTTTTCTATAATTAAACATATTTTTGAAAGAGTAAAAATTAATCGATATTGGAAACCATTTGATAAAACATTAAAAATTACTAACTAAAACACCGAATCAACGTGGCAAACTATACATCGATTCTACGTCGTCTAATCGTCTAACATCGATCTAATATCAACGTTCTAACGATCTAATAGCCGCTAATGTCTAACACATCGTGACATTTTACACCCAACTACCGTGATGAGTCCTGAGGTGGTATCGTGGTAGTAGTAGCAGTAGTAGAAGAAGAAGACACAATTGGAAAACATTTTGTTTTGTTACGTAGTGATTTGTAGAAGTGGTAGATGGTTGATTGGTATTTGGTGAGTTATCATTGACGTGACGTGACGTGACGTGACGTGGCTGATTGATCTGTTGGTACTGGCACATACATAGATATGACATATTTTCTCAGTCTGCAGAGTTCTACTTGAGTACAGGTAACTGGCAAAAACAGTTGACATTACATCGAGGTAGGAGAAGAGGACACGGCGAAGGAGAAGACAGAGAGAAAGAGAAAGAGAGAGAAAGACAGCGGCTGCCTAACGGCCTGACCTTTCGACCAGATATCGCGGTGACCGAGAGAATCGTGGTGTACGAAACGACGGGAGCCAGCCGAGGCGTGCGAGGGCCCCGATATGTCTCTTACTCGGTGGCAATACTTCAGGGTAGCCCGAGTCGGCCGGCATCTCCGGCGCGGAACCTGTTCCCGACAGAGTTATAATTGACAACAGACACGGTGTGTATCGGTTCTCGCGTTCGCAGCTTCCTGCCCATCGTGGAATTCTGAGGTCGCTAGATGAGCGACGATACGCAATGGATCGAGAAAAAGATATATGGTAATCGATATAGACCATGCCAATGGTGCGATCTCGCGATTCCCGCTGCCGCTGCCAATCAGCGAGCTTAAATATCGATCGATAAAGAGAAAAAAAAAAGATGAAATTGAATTTTATTTTTTATATTAAATGGAAGCCACGCGATAAATCTCTGCGCGATAAGCGATAAACCCGCCAATAGTGCTATGACATTTGACGATGGATAGCCTTCCGCTCGCGTTGTAAATGTAAAATAAGGTTTACGAGAGATTTCCATAAATTAATACTGACCGAAATGTATCGCGTATTTCACGCGTGTCATGAAAAATGTAAAATAAATAAATTTCCGCGGGGCTCTCCGGTAGATCCCCGATGAATATCGAATCGAAATATCGCGCCCTCGAACCGATTTTACTCACCCATGAACCTCTTCTCCGCGTTCGGATAATGATCGGTCAACGCCTCCATCATGTCCTCGTAGTCGAGCATGTTGGTGTTCTGCACAACGGGCAGCGGATACTCATCGGAAAAGTCGATCTGCCGTTTGTGCCTCGCTTGCAACGCGGCATCGATTCTCCTGTTCGACCTGTTCTTCGCCCTGCTCTCGTCCAGATTCTCCGAGACGCTGAAAGGGGTGGTCCAATCGCTGGCGACGTTCGCCGCGGCGTCGTTTCCATTGTCGTAGCCTTGCCTGATGAGCTGCTGGAGGTCCAAAGGCTCGCTCTGCGCTTCGCGATCGTCGCTCAAGGATCTCCCATGGCGGTTTAATACCCGGACCATCATCCTGCCTGGCGCGGTGCCACCTCGCTTCACGAAACCGGGCCAGTCGGCGTTCCTGGCCAACGAGGCGACGTTGCGCTTGCCGTCGTCGTATCCGCGGACCGGATAGCCACCGTTTCGGACCAACGAGCCGAGATATCGCTTACCGTAGGGCAGAGAGGAATCCCTGGCCAGCGCGGCGACATTCCTTTTACCCGTCGGCAGCATGGAGTATCTCGCCAGAGAACCGATATTTCTCTTGCCGTTCGGCGGCAGCATGCTCTGCCTGGCCAAAGAGCCGATGTTCCTCTTACCATTTGGTAGACCGTAATCACGTGCCACCGAACCAATGTGACGTCTGCCCGTAGGCAGCGCGAAGTCTCGCGCCAGGGAGCCGATGTTACGTTTGTCCAATGGATACTCGATCACTTCTGGATCCAGGTCGCCCAGGTAGTCGTAGACACCAGCCCCTCGTCGATGATAATCGTCGCCCAGTAATATGCGCATCAGGCTGTCCGCATCGCCGCTTAATTCAATAAATCGATTAATTTAAATGACTGAATAACTGAAGCGGCAGTGATAATCCTTTTAGTAAAAAATAACTGAATTACATTAATTAGAAATTATAATAAAATTATTTATTCCTACAATTTGCATTTATTCCTATATTAAATTGTATTTATTTCTGTAATTTCTATAATTATCAGGAGATTATTAAAATGTAACGATTTCTAATCTTTGAAAATGATTTTAACCTGAAGTTTCTTACGAATGTTCGGAATTATTACGTTAAGCGTTATAGACACAGAGTCGGAAAGGTCTTCGGAAAATTTATACCTGGAAGGAATGCTTCTCTTCTCTTCGTCATCGTCGTCCTCGCGTTCCTGAATGGTGACCGGCAGGTCGTCGTTCTTGGCCAAAGTGGCGAGACTGCGTTTTTCCGATTCGGGGATCAGGTCTCGCGAGTCGATCTCCTCGCTGTCGTCCAGAAGACGTCCGGGAAATTCGGGCAATTTGTGGGTACGCGCCATTACGCTGAGATGACCACGTAATGCCGGATCCTTGAAGAGCTCCAAATAGAGACCGCCCGGTATGCAGATCTCAGCGTCGTCGTTCTCCTCGGAACTGAGAGCCTTCAAATGAGCTATATCGTTGTGGTTCTTCGTCTCCTGAATAATCCTTGCCGTCCTCGAGTATGCCGCCAGATTCGAGCTGACTTCCGGTAAACGCAGCAACGCCAGGAAGGTCTTCTTTGGTATGCATTGGCTGCCTTCTTCATCTTGGCACGTCACCTGAAGCGAGACGTAGATCGAACACGGCTCGACAAATCTTCTTTGCATCAATATATAAAGCAATTATGTTTCCAGTGTCTATTTGTATCTTTTAATTTTCTTATATTAACTGTTATATATCGTATGTAATTATATGTAATTAATTACGTGTAATAATTGTAAAAATTATCGATTTTTATGTACTGCTGCACAGTTCTGTCACAATAAATTCGTGATAATAATTTGTGATAAAAACGCGAAAAATATACAGAAGTAGAAATGTATAATAAACAAAAATCTCTGTTTTTTTTTTTTTATATTTCGTCGAATTTGTCGATCTCCGTTATACAATTCTATTAAGTTTTTCACGGATATACTTTCAAAGAACAACGAAGTCTAATATCACGCATGAATATTCTTCGGAGAATATCATACAAGTATACTATACCCCCAATTAAAGTCTACAAACGACCCACGCTTGAGTGTCCAAAAATATAATAAAAAACACAACACAATACAAAAAAAACAGGAGAAAGGGCTCGATGTCCTTTCACGTTTTATTTGACATCTCGAGAGATTTCCAGATGATTTGCCCTCTCGCTAACAGTCGATATCGTTTCCGTTTATTTTTTTATACCGCTGCATATTTTCGCAAACTGAGTTGACAGTTGCGGCTTTATTTAGACCGTCACTATATAGCTATTCTCTTTTTAAATTAGTAGTAATTTAAAAATTGTTTTACTTCCGCCTTTCTTAATTTACGTGGAAATAAAAATTGTGCAATATAAATATTACATTCGCATATCCGTATGTTTTTATATAATAATACAGTGTACAAATATGTGTATAAAAAGCATTATGCACACTGTCTATTTAATTCCCAGTAAATTTAATTTCAACGTAAATTTTTGTCACTTAATTATCGTGGTATTTAACGCTGAAAATCACGGCAAGCATGTGCACCACGCGGTAAATAAGATCTCAAAAATTAATAGAGCAAATTGTAGATAAAGTTTATAAAAGCAGCCCGATAACAGGGCTCGCTTGAATTTATTGCGAGGAATAAAATGCCGGCGAGACCTGCTGGATGTTTCCAGCATTCCACTTCATTTCAATCGCCATTATTTCCACGACGCTCAAGGTAACTGGACATTTATACAATACCATTAAATTCTGTTTTAATCGATCGTCGTGAACCCGAGTCACATGCACGTGGCTCGTGCAAGGCAGTCGTCACGTTTTGACACTAATCTTTCTGGGAGAACGTGACGTGCCGGCGGCGCGATATCGGCGACAAAATGATTCGTGTCTACAAGGATTTATGAAAATTCGACGCGATACAAGCCGCGGAGATCGTGGGAATTAATCCGATACATAATATGCGAAATACGTGCCAGCTGCGCTATAATTAAATGATCGTCCCGATGTCAGGGATGAATTAAATCCCTCACGCGGTGGTCGCGGCCGTTTATGATCACGGATATATTACACTGTAATTTATGAGGAATATGCGCGGAATGAAAATGGCAATGAAGGGAAAATCGCGTCCCACGAAGCAGATCCCTAATGTTTGACATTTGTCGTCGAAATAGATATGTGTTATTCACCGTTAGCACTTATGTAGGCTTTGCGATGGCAATAAATTTTTTTACTGCATTCTGTAAAATCCGTATCTAAACGTAATCTTTCAACATAAGTATTGATTTATGGATTTGGGAGTGGCCCGATATATTTGCATTTTACGGAGAATTTAAATTTAAATTTTGCTGAATAATCTAACGAATCTTTAAATTATTTTTGAATTTTTATTCTACGATGAAAAAAATGTGGATAATTATAATGTATATACGTTCTGACTATGAGTGTTTTGCTCTAGTAATATTTTCGAAATTTATATTGAATGATGTTTCAGGTGTTACATGATATTCCGTTTTAACGTTGACTTACAACCCCGGATTTACGTTAGTTCTAATGGAACTGATTCAAAGTACTTGCTAATATTATGGTTTCGCGTAAATTCTGAAACGGTTTGCAAATTTCGGTCAGATGTCGTTGACATTAACTGCGATCGTATGACTTTGTGGGCGTTTGGTAATATCCTTTGGACATGAAAGCATACGCGTTACGCATTCAAATATGCTTTTATACTGTCAAAATGCTATATTTGACACTATAGTAAAGGAATCTACACTATTACGATACTATAGTAAAGGAATCTACACTATTATATACGAAAGAACGGTCATAACCGTAAATAAATAATAAAAATTAATATCAAAAGTATCAAACGTTTTCCAACAAGAAAAATTTATATTTATAATATTTAATTTATATTTAACTATCTATAATATTTAATCTATAATATCTAATCTAATATTTAATATTTTATATTATCACTTACAATATATCAAAAGAATCAAAGTTGATTGATGTTGAGGTATAAGCACAAACGCTGATTTTGATACAATGTAACATGAAATATTTGTTATCATCCCGTAACGTTATTAACGTTATTACAACGCTAGATTAGTGACGCTTCAAGCCCAATTTCGGTGAAGCGTATGACGTCAAGCTCTGCATATGATAGCTACAATTATAACGCATGTCTGCGACCAGAAGACCATGTGGCATCTGTAGTTCACATTTTACAATGGAACGTGGATGTTAATTTGAACAAACAAACTTGCATATTTATGCAAAATCGAAATGTTTTTTTCCATAATTTCTCCTTTTGCATAATTTCTCCTTTTCAGTTTAAAAACATAACGTATGGGATTGCCAGATAAAATAAATTCCAAAAGAAATGTCTCTGTAACGCTGGATTTAAATGTCAAATAAACTTTGTCAGAATGTTCGAAATGTTTGTATAATTTAGTCGAGCTGGATAATAATTTAGTGTTTTGTTGAAGAAGTTTGCTTGTAAACTTGTCAGAGATAAAGAAAATTTACACTCGGGAAAGATCTATGAAGTTTATTGTAGAAATATTAATAGTTAAGAATTTCATTAATAGTTAAGAAGATTCATTCTTTGCTGCTCAGACTTAAGAAGACTAGAATAATACTTTCAATGTATCTGATTTGCACGTTTACACGTGTGGAACACTATGTGGCACCTGCTGCATTTCATATTATACAATCTTGTTTCTGCGTTTGAGAAATATACGCGGATTTGCGTAGCAGAAACACACGCACGTTTGCAGAAATTCGACTGCGTAATTTAATTTCGTTTATAATCCATTATTCAGGTATTCATTAACAAAATTCCTAACAATTTATTCCTAACGATATTAAAACTTTTGTATAATTGCATTTTATATACTAATTAATTATTACAAAATCATTTACATTTTTTACATATTTCATTTATTTAAACTTACATAATATTTAAGTCTATAATTTTAATTAAACGCTTTATTAAATTAATTTGCTTAACAAGATGATAGGAAAACGTCTATCTCGTAACGTTAATGAAGTAAATGTTTAATTATTGGCTCACTTTCGAGCATTATCTCTCCGCGAAAGGTCATAGGATAATTTTCGTTCCTACGCAGGAAAGTGTTACCGGTGATCACGGCCGTGTTTCATTAAACCCAATCGCCTCTTTGATGCATGTTAAATCGTGTAGTCCTTGGCCAGTGAAACTAAATTGAATTCCTAGGAAACTACGTACGCTTATTCTGCAATGAAAACCCAAGTTGCACCAATTGTGTCTATACCGCCTGCGAATATCAAATATTAACTTTCTCGATAGATCAATCCGAAATTCTGCTTTTGTGATGCGAGAATGACGACAAAGTGTCAGAAAAGTGACAGCATGATCTAAAACTGACAGCTAAATTAAATACGCAATTTTTCCAAGACAGTATGTGAAATGTACATCTTATCGCGCGCAAGCAGATGCAACATAAATCTCCAAAAAATCCTAAACAACTGATAGAATATGTCACAATTTTAAATTTTGTAATATTACATTTCCGCGGACTTCGCGGTTATTCATATAAGATATTACTTTAAATCACGTAAATTCATTGGGAAATATTATTTACAATTATATTATTTACAATTGACTGCTCCGAGATAATTGATTAAGAGTTCAAATAATTAAGATATTTATATAGAAATAAAGAAATTTTCTGAAAAGCAATTTCATCATACTATTATAAGAAGCTCAATTTATTGATCTTTTTGAGCGAACCAATTTATTGATATAGACATTTCTATCAAATTTTTGTCTCTATGATATCAAAGTACCCTATCGATAAGCTTTCTTCAGTCCTTGAAAAATATAAGTTTCTCGTGGCATCTGCAAGATCGTTGAGCGCAAATATTCAAATACTTCGGCAGATTACAAGAGATGTTCTACACGGAGCAAAACAATGTAAATTCTTGCTGTCTTGCGACGAAATTTAATAGTAAAAATATTCAATCACCGTCTCCTCGTACGAGTGTCTCTCAAACAGATGCTCCGGATCCTTTCGTTTCTTTCTATTCCATCTTTCCACGTCTTTGCATTTAAGTTAGTTTATTGGTGAAGAGTAAACGTTTCTAGAAAATTTAGTTCTCGACAACACCGCGTCGTGAACTGCACGGGAGATATCGGGGATCTGGATTCATATATTCTAAAAGGTATTTTCTTCAGCGAAAATATGTGGATTCGACTCCACCTTCGGCTAATAAAATTCTTCCGCTTATCTCAAACAACGCGTGAAATATTATTCATTGTTATACGATATTGCCCTTGTGAGGAATTATTAATAATCTTCCTTCGCTTTCAGCACAAAAAGATTGAATCTTAAAAAAAAAAATTGTACATTGTTGAATAACCTTGAAGTGCATATTGTGGGCATCATTAGAATTTAAAGCGGAACTCTGAATTTCTTATACGATTATATGTAAATGTAAAATTATCTGAAGAAATGATACATATAATTATATTATTTTGCATATATATTATATTTCTTTATCTAAAATTATATTTTTAATGGGGTACTTTTGCCGATCACGGAAAATTGCAAACTGAA